AAAGTGATATTTTTCGACTTCTTTGTTGAAAACCGCAAGTCCGATTGCTTTGATATATTATACATATAGGTACTACATGTGGACCTCTCTCAGATTTGTTCATTTTCTAATGATATCTTCTGTTCTTTAATTGCCATGTGCATTGCTAACAGCGGAGCTATCTCAGCCGACAGGCTGCTTGTCTACCTCCATGGTACATGTAAGGAGTGTGAAAAACACAAAAGACGGATGCAAAGTGCAAATCACACTTTTAGAAAAGGATAGACGACAGATGAGAAAACAATAGTGTGGACGCATAAACCATGCAGTGTAGAAGCGCTAATACAATAGAGTAGACTGAAAAATGTACATGACCGACCTTTATGTTCTGGAAAATAGTCGGTCAAAAACACACCTAGACTATGAATCATGCAAGTCAATGACAAAATTAAAAGCAGGAACTGACTGACTTGCAGAATTACCAATCAAGCTGATGATAACATTAAAATATAGCAGGCTCTGACTGATGTGAAAAATAGCCGGGCAAAAACACAAGTAAATGACAAAATTACAGATTTTAATCTTTCTTTTTACTTGTCTGACTTCTTCTTTGTGGTATTATTTCGCAAGTTGCATTCTCAGGCTGCAATGAACGCCAAATGAAAATGACGATCAAAAATCAAGACCACATCAATGTCTGGCAGAAAAGACTGTTGTTTTAGTTAGAAAAATACAGTACAGTTCTCGCGAAAGCTTTGGCTTTTGTAGTTTCATTGTCATTTACGCATGGCTTCATTGTCGCCTCAGCACCGCATCATTGTGGCATCAGCTTCACGTCATTGAAAATTGAAGCTGTATTCGCCTCGCTTATTTTGTGGCATCAGCTTTGCAGTCTCATGGCATCAACATGGCATCAGCTTCAAAGTATTGTGGCATGAGTATGACCTCATTATTTTCACATGGAAGGGCAGTAGAGAAAAACACATGTACAGAAGTTTGATATGTAATCGTTTTGAAATTCAAAGCAGTAAGGTAAAATGACATTTTAAAAAGATATCTTGTTTAATTATTTAATGCTGCGAGTATTGGGTACCAAAAACTATGTGAAGTACATTGCAATCTGCAAGGTGACTAGTGTCATATTGACTGCAAGGAAAATCGTGATCAATTTAAATCACACAATGCAATCGTCGTTCGGATACAACACAATTTGCTATACGAAATGAAACTGTTCTTGTTATAAAATTACCTTATTTTCGTTTGCTGGTAAGAACAGATTCAGATTCCTCATTTTGGTGGTATTTTTCTGTGTTTCGTTTAGTTTTAGCAGAGTCCGATCCCATGCCCGGACTACTAATACATGCAAAACACGCGTACGCCGCCTGGTGCATCAGCGTTGTCGCCTGCCATCTTGATACAAAGTTCCAAAACAAGTGCGTACATTTCCAACTATGTTTGGATGGTTATGGTGGTGTCGGTCTGGTAAAATTTTACATCAAATTTTCAAAATTAACTAAAGATCTGTGACCTGAGCTCGATCTATATGTACATTAAAAGTATTCTCACAAAAAATATTTTCAAATAAAAACGAGCCACAGGCCTTGTAAAAAATTGAATAGCACTTGACATGCAGAAATAATTTTATTGGGTTTCAGAAAAAAAAGTGTTCATTTAGTTGTAGCCGTAAATATTTGGTGATCAGTCGAACAATTTGAAACTCATTATACACACAGAAGTTCTTCAATACTGAATATCATCGACCCCAATCTGGTTTACTTTATTTCCCAACTTGCAAAACTGATTTGTATCTCAGCCCAGTTTTTCTTTTTTCGAACTGAGGTCAAATCCCAGCCGTTTGTCAAAATATACCGATGTTTTTCAGTGAATGATTGTGAAGTCTGTCACAGCATAGTGAATCGACGCCGGAGATTGGATGGTACGACGACCCTTAAATTAGCGTCAAATATGCTTTGTTACAACATCATTGATTGGCTGAGTCACCTGATCGAAGCACGACCTGGGTCGCAGAACCATATTTGTTCGTATTATCAACAGGACTTTGCGAGAGAACCACACCCACATTTTCAACCATTTTTAGCGCGGAAGTTGCCAACAAATGTCGAAAACTCATGAATTTTATGGATTTGAATAAAATAAAGCTAGCGATTGGTAAGACTGGGTAATAATATATCCCACAATGTTCTTCGAATTTTTTTATTTTATTTCAAGGTGAGAAATGGATAATTGAAGTTCCATCGATTTCAATGCGACTGTTTCACCACGACAACTCTATGCTGTGTTGTAGTTTCGCGAGGTAAAAAAAATATATAATAAATAGTACTTGTTTAATTATTTGGTTTTACAGCCCGCAAATTACGGGACATGATCCCCATGAATTACGATAAATAAATGCTGATTGTGTTGAATGATGGACGTCGGGACCGTTTGGAGAAACCAACGGGGATCGATATTCCAAACAAATTATTGGGACACGGTCGATAGACATTTCAAACAAATAAAATTATCAAATGACGAGGTTTTTCAAGATATTTACGAACATACTGTCATACCAAATAGATGCAAAATTGACAAATACACAAAGAGATATTAGGTTTTATTTTAGCCTTAGAAATATTTTCTTTCACTCAGTCCATGCGTGGGACTTCTATTTAGCTTCATGGTCCTTCGGCTTGTGTTCTCCTTGGGGGAAATAACAATAATTATACAAATCGTTAACACAGTCAGGAAAAGAAACCCGGACAACCATGTCGTACTTCTGTTGAAATACATTTTGTAGCAGTGCGTCACGTCAGAATATTGTTTAAAATAAAATAGTCAATCCCAGCCAAATCTAGGTCAAAGGGTCAGATTGCGTGCATATAATTATATATAGTTAGTTAGTTAGTTAAAACAAAAAGTATTTGAACTTTTGACGGTTGTTCAACATCCATGCACGGTTACTAAACTAGTAACCGTGATCTATGAAAACCAGAACCGAAGCGAAAGCGAAGCGATAACCGCCTAACTTTTTAATTTCGCGACATTGATGCGATGCTGAAGCCATAACAATGCTGTAATGATGCGATGCTGAAGCGAAAGTGAAGCTGAAGTGAAACCAAAGCTTCCGCGAGAACTGTACTGTAGCTATAGATTCCCATAAATCGCTAGTAGAACATGTGGTACCGATATCGGACCAATACCTTCTCTAATTTTAGTTAATATATTTTTGTCATGTTTAGTTAAAAATTGCCATTTTTGACTTTTTCTTAGAAATGTGTAGTCCAATTGCTTCAATAGACATTTTGGGTGGACCTCAGTCCATACATAATAACACAAAAAACACCAACAAATGATATATGTATATGAACTAATTTTATGAATTTTCACCAGAATCCAGAGTATATGAAGGAAGGCTTCCATATCACAATTGAAACCTGGCACAAACCAGATAGGGGTACTATCGACAATGTAAGTATGACTGTAAGATTTATTGTCTAAAATGTCTAGCTAATTTTTCATTACTTTAAAAAATATGAGTGAAATTTAGGCAAAAAAAGAAAAAAATATTATGCTTACTTGTATTGAAAAATGATATGGATCAAGAAAACATTGTTCCATTCTACCATATGTGGCACAGTTCACTGGAATGCAAACCTTTTTGGCCCAATTTTATTTTTGAAACTGCTTTGTACACGGTACTTTTAATTTGCATATGTAGTAGACCCTAATAAGGTTATTTCTATACCTTATTAGGGGGGTAAATTTGTATGCTATATAAAAGCACCATAATTATAACCATATTTAGCAATGTCTAAACTGTATATGGGAATATCAGGTGCAACATAATCAATGCTAAAAACAGATATCCAATCAACAGGGTTTTAACTTCATGGAGGCAACAGTGGCATTTGTCTTGCCTTCTATTGATATTTCCAAAACCTATATTGCCAAGGATATTTTATAAATTTGCCCTTGAAACTGGTGCCCTCTCAACTTTGAAGTTCAAGTACTAGATTAACGTTGACGCTGCAGGTCGTCATTCTTTCAACACCGATCTGACGCATATCGCGCAAGGAGTGCGTGGTTAAAAAGCAACTTAAATTGTAAAAAGAAGTATTAAGTTCCGTGTATAAACACTAGTGTAAAGAGGCGTTGGAGCGCTATTTTAGCCAAAATCGGCTAGTAAGAAGTCATATGACACAGGTCTGTGCTGGGACAGTGCTTCCTGTGACGACACAACGCTAGATTAATTCTTGTAGCAGTTCCCATTTGTTGGAATAGTTTTAGTTATTGGGACTGTAACACGTTTGTGGTTGTTGCTGGCTTGCTCTTGTTTTCATCGGTGTTAACCTTTTGTGTATATACTGTAAAATGAATAATTTTCACTGGGTTTAAATTTCGCTGATTCACCATTCAGGCATATTCAGTGGGTTTTAATTAAATTCATGATTTTATCATTTAGATAATGTGTTCTATGCTCAATTTTTACATATTCACTGGGTTTCAATTTAGCGCATTTTCCAGTCGGCAAAATAAGCAAAATTAAAACCCAATGAATAATTAACCCCTTTACAGTATATGCTAAAATGCACATATTTCCATTAATTCACTAAATTCACACTTCACAGTATTATTGTTCTCAAATAAAGCTATGGGAATAATCTCAGAGTGCAGCTTTCAAATATAATGAATGAATGATCTTTATAAAGTAAGACCTCATTGTCTGACAACAAAGTGCCAATTAACGGTGTATTCTGATTGGTGTTTCATCCTTTTCTTTGCAGGTACACAACCTTGGTCCGGAAGAAGTTAAAAAAAGGGAGGTCATTTTCATTGATATTGCAAATGATCCTGTATCATCTAAAGTAAGTAACTTTATTATAAAAACTAAATCATTGAGCAAGTACTTGGAATTATTAGACATGTGCTTGAAACACAATTGAACAACTTGACAAAAATATCCCCAGGATTAGTACCAACTCCTGGATCCTGTGGCTACAATCTCCAAAACTTTGGTAGCCCAAATCAAAACTGTTAAATTGTTGATTAGAAATTTTTACAAATTATTGGTCATGGCAAGGAAATGTTTGGAATTCATGCTGTAAAATTTCTTTTGGGGTGGGTTTATAGTCTTCCTTTTGATGGCACTTTTATGTTACCCATTTGTCCATCTGTTATTAATAGTTACTCTTGTTTGTTTCAATGTCTAAGGATTACAATGAAAAGCAGGATCCATCAAAATTTCACTCGCAGAAAACCGGACGTGGGCCGTTGAAAGGAGATTGGCGGGTGAGTCTGGATGGAAATTAGCAAAATGTTTTTGTTTTGGACAGCAAAACTATTGTGCATAATGACAATGATATCAAAATTAGTTTTTTTTTTATTTCATATTCGATCATTAGATGACGAGCTTTAACTCTGTTGCATTAATAGTCACAGCGCCATCTAGAGGTGTAACGAAGAAACATTATTTTCACCTGAAAACCTAATTTAGGATTCCTTTTGCACAAGGTCAGGTCAATTTGCAAAATTGAACGTAAAAATAGGACATGTGGGATTAAAAAAAAAACTGTTTGGTAGTTCCACACAACAATGAACTTCAAAACAGGGAAATCGGTTCAAAATCAATTAATTTGATTTTTGTGGCAGATTATGCATTACATGAGATCTTGCCCAGAATTAGCTTCAAGTATTCAAGGTCAAATTTGAACCAGTAAATGTAATCTGCTCCATTTTGGCTTTTTGGAAGAGGTGACATTATTGTGTTTCAAACTGTTTCATTTCAACCAGAGTAACCTTGAATTTGTGGATGGCATTTTAGTGAAAACCAACTAGTTTTGAAATATAGCACTGACAAATTCAAAGTAATCAACTGGATCAGCTTTTCCTACATTATCCAGTACTAGTGTGGCTGGCTTCAAGGTCGTTGTGGTAGTTGTATTGACCAATCAGTAAGAGTGCTCACATTGCAGTATTCTCATATTACTATGCATCTTGTGCCGAAAAATTAACCATTCTATAAAAAGTTTTTACTTGTTTGTTATCTTGATATTAAATTATTACTTAGAAGCAGAGAAAAGATGCATAATAATTATAATGAGAATACCGCAAACTAATGCTTTCAGGCAGTACAGGATCACATCTTGAGTTTACACTAGAGTTAAAGCTTGTCACTTATTCTATTTTGATAGTTTACCGTAGTTAATGTTTTGGTTGGTTAGAACCACCCAGTAATCACATGTTTCAGTTGTTAGGAACCATGTATTTATCCAAACTTGATATTTTTTTCATGTAATGCATGCTGCAAATCATCTCATTATTTATATTTACTGTGATGCATATTTTCTCTTGTTAAATCTTATTCCTCATGTCATGAATGAAATTTTTTTTTCTAATTGTAAAAATAAAATTTGTTTTGGATAGCTTTATGTAGAGCGCCCTCTAGTGACCAAATTAAAATGGTGTCTCTGTGATTTGTTTTGTTTGGTAGAAAGCAAAATTGCTTGGTTACACAGCCTGATACTGTTAAGAAATCAATTGGGCAGCCATCTTGGCAGATAAAATAAGACACTTGCATGAGACTACACAAGCTCATTTGCCAATTATTTGGGACTAATGACAACCCAACAATAGTTATTTAAAAAAAAAAAAGGTAATTCTGTTTGGTTTCTGATGACTTTGAGCTGCACATGAGCCCTCATATCATTGGTGTTAATTATTGTTTTCTGTTGCTAGTTCTTGCTGATTCTTTTGATTATGTTTGGTAAATTGTGTTTTCAGTAAACGCGTGCCTCTCGAGTGACTGATACGAAAACAAATGTTTGAGAGATGTTTGTGTTGATTTTATTAGTTCAAATTTATTATTAATTAATGTATTCTACGTTGCCTTACAAATGTGCTGAGAAACAATCTTGTCGAATCTGTAAAAACATTGCCTGGCAAAGTTTCTTTGAATTTTGGATACCACTTATTTTTATTCTATATCTTTCTTTCAGTCAAAACATTGATTAAATTTTTAAAGCAAAATAATGTAAATTATATTGTTTGAAAATTTTGTGAGTCAATAAAAATTCCACTGGGTTCTATTGTCTTCACGAATGCCCTGAAAATTTATCTATTCATAGTGTGTCAGCAATGTTTCTGATCTAAAATCAAGATAGGAAGTACAAATTCTAATAGTGTATGTTAAAATGTGGAGATATTTCTGTGTGAATGTTTGTGTAATACAAGTTAGTGTTGTGTGTAAGTGAATAGGAATACAGTATATACTTTGGGAAATGGTATGTACATTGTATGTACTGGCGAGTTACCAAGAGAGTCAAAAAGCTAAAGCTAGGTTAGTGACAGAGTTAGGGAACAATCACTTGACTTGTTAGTTTATTAAAGTAATAGTTAGTTTATTCACCCAACATCGGGGAGATTGTGGGTTTTAAAGCAATGGTCAGTTTTACACTCAGGGAGATTGTAGGTTTGAAGGCAATGGTCAGTTTTACACTCAGGGAGATAGTGGGTTTGAAGGCAATAGTCACCTTTCCACTCAGCAGTGGAAAAAGAATACATTCTGCCCACTTTCCTGCCTTGTGACATCTTTATTTTGGAAATTGGCATCTTTTGGATGTGTCAGTTCTGTGTACTGTTTCTATCATATCCAGTTCTTGTCACAGTTTCCTGGGACATATGACATATTGCTCTCAATACTCGTGCTATCTTTCATTTCTGAGTCTGTAAATGAACCCCAAGCCCTATTGACAAGCTATGAAAGTGTGAGTGTGATAAGAATTTTCAATCCCCTAAATAAAAAAAATATTTTACTGCTGAATAAGTTAAATTAGTGCAGTTACTGAAAATACTAGCGAGTTGTAAGCGAGGGCAAAACCTTGAATATCTGGTGTGTGAATTACTAAGACATGAAGCAAAGAAAACATTTATTCTGTGTTTTAACTGAAGAAAAAGTTATTTAATGGGCGGTAGTCGTGGCGCCACATATGAGCGAGATGTATGGGTCTCATATAACCAAAGATGGCGACTTTGGCTGTTGCGCAGATCAACGAGTACAAACTGAGACGTTACCAAGCTTTAATTAGGTATCTTTTAGGTGATTTGAAAGAATCTAAGGCGTCACCGGCGGTAATTAGTGCAAGTCGCGCCCAGGTCAAACCTTGTACTTTTGATTTCTATGAGAAGAGTGCATTGGATTATGGGAAAATGAATGTTTAGCAACACAAATGTCGCACATGCACAGCGTGATGACCACCACCCTTTAATCTGCGAGTGAGTGAGCGAGTACTGAGGAGGAGGCTATATATGGATGTGCGCATCTCTGAATGAATGTGGTGAGAAATAACAATGCTAACATGTGTGAATGAGTCAGCAAGATATTCACGTAATGCATGTACTGTATAGAATTAACCATATCATGCGCTTGCATGATTTTTATTCCATTAATCATTTATTTGCTATCTCTGTTATGTGTTTTTATTTTGTTTTTGCCTCATCGCCGTTTCACTGATGCAGAACTCTTGCCAGCCTGTCATGTGCGCCTACAAACTGGTCACTATAAAGTTCAAATGGTGGGGACTTCAAAACCGGGTGGAGAAATTGATCTTCAAGGTAGATTTATTTGCACACACACTGTGGAATACCACCTGGTTCATGCACTCACTCACACACAATATTTTTTTATTCAACGGACTATAGAAAACCTGTACTCCATGTATGTGTGCATACAAGCTGGTTACGGTTGAATTCAAGTGGTGGGGACTCCAGTCTCGCGTCGAGGCTCTTATATTGAAGGTAGTTTCTTTGCTTATCAATCCCAAAACTATCTTTTTATTGTGATGTGCCCACACCAAATTTGTAAGCGGTTCTTCTACATATATTCCTTTACTCATAATTTTCTAAAATATGATTTTTTTTTTTATTAATTATTACTCCTTAGTTTTCAAGCTGCAAATATTTCAGTTGTTCATCATGATCTATAAAGTTTTTTGGGAATTGTGAACTGTAGTTTTGATATTTCCAGGGTGTTAGCATACTAATGACTGCTTAGCTAATGTTTGAAAAATCTCCTTGACAAACAATGTATTATGCTAATTCAAGCACATCTCGAAAGCATGCCTATGTTCTTGATAAAACGTACATTGTATTATGCTAATTCTAGCACATCTCGAAAGCATGCCTATGTTCTTGATAAAACATACATTGTATTATGCTAATTCAAGCACATCTTGAAAGCATGCCTATGTTCTTGATGAAACATGCAATGTATTATGCTAATTCAAGCACATCTTAGAAAGCATGCCTATCTTCTTGATGAAACATGCAATGTATTATGCTAATTCAAGCACATCTTAGGAAGCATGCCTATCTTCTTGATGAAACATGCAATGTATTATGCTAATTCAAGCACATCTTAGAAAGCATGCCTAGCTTCTTGATAATTACACAATACAGTAATCTGTAGTGTGTGAATCTCATTAAATATTATGTGTAAACATTATTTTATATTTCAGTCTAGTTAAAAGGGTCCTCACCTTTTGGATCTGAATATAGGAAAATATTTGATGGTGTCAAACAACTGTAAAGTAACATCCATACTGAATATGTTGCCTGCCTGGATGCATGTATCGGTATATTATAAATGTATATGCCATCCTAAAACCATAAATTGTATAACCTTTATCTGATCAAGTCAATGTAAAAGTGCATCAGGCTTGCAGAATAAGAGTTAAAGATATCCATCAGTTAGTTTTTTCTGTCTAACTGGAAACTGTTTTTGTTATCACTGTATTAACTTCTAAAGCAGTGAGAGTTCAAAAGAAGTTTGTGTTTCACTCTGCCCTGAGTTATTCCTGAAAACAAGATTCATTGAATACTAACATATACTTGTACTCAGAGGTTGCAGGAAAAATGATAAGAGATGTAAACAATGCCAAATACATGGCAGGAAAATCCTATGTTAGGTCAAAGTAAACATGTATAGCATGCATATCTCAAACCTAC